GTGGAGCAAAGGGATGAATATGAGACTTACGAACCTTGGATGTGTTCTCTCCTTCTACTTAAAATTCCTTAACTCCATCTCTAATATTAATATTTGGTTAGATGGGGCTGACACACTTGCAGATATTTTTCTTTCTGAGTTAAGCTTCAATTACATCCTTCATCATCCTGCCTAATCAGTGTTCATATATTTGAGTTCATGTATTTGAGCCACTATGGTTAGTAGTTAGTAACCCCAAACATCAATTTACTAAATTGCTGATGTATAATAATGAATTGTGATTTTTTTCCAAACTCTAAAGGGTGAGTTTGTATTTATCCTGGTACTGAGAAAAAGTTTGAGTCTGTTTCTTCCATGCCTCCTACACTGGTGATTTGTTCCTGGCACAAGCACAGCATTAAATCTTCACCCCCAAATTAGAATTCCTCTTCTGAACTCTCACATGATGGTGAAGTGAATAGCTTTGGAGTCAGAATGCTTGGGTTTAAATTTTAGTTTCCTCACCAACTAACAAGCTGTGTGGCTTTGGGCAAGCTAGTTAACCTCTTTATGTTTCAGTTTCCTTTTCTATAATAGGGGAAAATATTGGTGCTTACCCCATGAGGTTGTAGTGAAGATTGCCTGAATTAATATATGTAGAATTTAAAACAGTGGGACATAATAAATGCTCTATAAAAAAAAGGCATGCTGGTCATTTTCTATTTGCCCTCCTTATCCCTTCAGAAATCCATTCTCATCTTTCTCTGCCTTGCTGGGACTCACAGAAGCTGACCTCTATTGACTGCAGTCCCCAACTCCCTCACCTCTAGCTCCCAATTGGGTTTGCTGTAGATTGTAGGGCAGGAGGAGACAGATGTTCCAGGATTTATTCCTCCCTGTCTCTGCAGCTCCTTTTAGGGATCAGGTAGTGGCTGCCTTCTTCTATGGCTACAGTTGGAATGGCAACAGCTCCTGATAGGCAGCCTCTCTCTAGAGCATGCATTTTCGTCAGATTTCTCTAACACCATTCCCTTCTTTTGCTTTTCTGGGCCTTGGGATAGTAACAGCTCCCAATTGTTGCTAATTCCTGGGTGCTTCACCATGCTTTGTTGGTTCCCTGAAGTCTGCCTACGTCTCTCTAAATTGTATCTTCATTAAGCCTTCTCTAGCTAATCCCTTTTGAGAGAGCCAAGTGCTTCCTGCTGGGAGCCTGACTGATACAACTGAACATTATTAATATATGTGTCCTTTTGCTCATAGCAGTATTGCAGTCAGAAGAAATTGTCAAGCATAAAAGTGATCCTTTTATTGAACATGCAAGGTACCAGACAACTTTCAGATTCTTCTGAATTATGAATGCCCCAGGTTTGCTAAACCATCTGAGAATCACACTAGTGAAATCTGAAGGATGGAATTTTCAGCTACTATTTGTGCGTCAGGAAATATGCTGCTTAGAAATCATACTAAGTTTTGGATTCTTTTAAGATTCTTGTCTGCTTATACACTGTCTTTGTTCAACGTGTTCAAGAAAAATGCCTGGTTGTGATTTCTACTAAATTTATACCAGGCAATAGTTCTGAGTCAATTAGCTATTCATTCATTTATTCATCAGATATAAATTGAGGGCCTGCTCTGTACCAGGGGAACACACTACTGGGGAAAATATTGAAAGCAGCAGCAAACAGAGGAAAGGCACAGTCCTCATGGAACTTAACTTTCTAATTAGGGGGGAGAAAATTTAATTCTCCAATTGAACACACACACACACACACACAGAGTAAAATTATAGCTGTCACAGTGCCATGAACAGAGGCACATGATACCAAGAGACGCTTTAATAGAGAGATATGATCTATTAGGAGATAAGGGAAGGCATTCCCGACGCAGTGACATGAGATAAGACCTGAAGAATAAGAGAGTTGATAAGGGAGAGACAGGGGAAAGAGCATGTGCCAAGGCCCTGTGGTGAGTGGGGGCTGTGGTGAAAACTGAAGGGATCAGTGTGGCCAGAGGGCAGGACAGGGTATACATGACGAGGCTGAGGGGAAGCTGAAGGCTAACAGGATGGGGCCTTAAAGGCCATATTGAGCAGTTTGTCTTATTTCTAAGAGCAATGGGACACATTGGAGGATTTTTAAGCAGGGAATGGTGTGACTTGGTTTTGAGTTTTTAAAAAAGCATTTTGTCTCTATAAGCATTGCTGTTTTAAACTCTAGGATTCCAGACCAAAAAAAAAAAAAAAGTTGAAATAAGAATAGAGAATATTCAGTAGTTTCTTTGCAGGTGATTAGATAGGAACTGAATTAATTTATCCTAATCAAAAGGATTCTTCTTAAGGCCTCCGTAGTGACAGGTAATTTCAAGATGTGATCGTTATACGTGTCTGTTTCCAATCAATCCCTGGTTCCACATTTCAGCAAGTCAACACTGCTACATATTTTTGTAACTTTCTGGTAATTTTCATGTCACAGCTGTCACTGGGCTCCCTGCTGGACCCAAGTACACATAACTAATTAATCAGTCAATCAAGAAGGAGAGAAAGTCATGTCTGACGCTACAATGAAGATCTTTGCTTGCTAAACTCAATGACTAGTTTAGAGTAGGATCAAAAAAACAAGGAGGCCTTCTTAGGAGGCAGAGTTTGCAGATTTAAAGATAATTCCTAAGACTAATGGTCTTGTAATTTAGAGTGTGTGCACTGTGGTTACCTTGCTGGTTATTCCATACTATCAAGGGAAGCAAATCTATGGCTGGAACCCCTACTGCTCCCCAGTCATCAATGTGGAGGGAGGCGGGAAGCAGGGAAATGGAACAGCAGGGAGAAGGAAGAATTCCTGGATCAGGAGTCAGGAGATCTGCCTTCTGGTTCTAGCTCTCCCACTAATACACACCCTATATAAACTTGGGCAAGCAATTTTAGCTTATAGGGCCTCATTTCTTCATCTATGAAAATTAGTCCTATTGAAATAGAGAGGGATCCATCAAGGAACTTCAAGTATGAATGGACACAGGATGCCTCTGGACCTGAGTCTGGTCCTTGGTACTCTGGATCCAGGAAGCTAACTCTGTTTACCCACAGCGGACCATGTTAATTAAAGCTTGCTGCTTTACCTTTTTAATAACCAGGAGGAGTAGCAAAGAAGGTTTATCTTACGAGGTTGACTCATCAGATTATGTCTGATTCTTCTGCTCCAATAGAGAAAGCCTAAACGTCAGTGGTGCTTCCCAATAGAGGTGTATCATGTAAAATATTTGCACACATGAGGCACTGTACCTGCAGAACCAGCCTAATTTGGTTCAACTTTGTGTAATAAAATGGTGAGTTCTTTTTCTGTTGCCATGGAACCGAGGTCGCAAGTTATGTAACCTGAGCATACACAGATGAGTGAAGTGCGCAACCACAGGCAGAACCTAGGTACTTGGACTGAGGAACAGGGATTGAGTTAAGAAGTGAACACCACATGTCGATATGATCCATGATTCAATCAGATTGAACCCTGGCATCACCCTCTGGCAAGATCCAGTCAGATCATACCTTCCAGCATCACTTCACTGAAGGATTCAATCAGACCATGCCTCATTACCCTCTACCTACAAAACCTGCACCACTACCCAGCTCAGGGAGAGAGATTTGGGTGCTGCTGCCTTTGTCCTTGCCAGTCATCCCACAACAAGCCTTTTTACAGAAACCTGGTACTTTGGTATTGGACTTTCCATTGCATGTGGGCAAAGACACTGAGTTTGGTTCAGGAACAGCAGCTATCTTCCATTTTAACCCATGCATCCTGGAATGCATGACCGCTAAGACTGTCACAATAAAGGAAGAGTAGATGGGGGAAGCACATCAGCTTTCAATTGCTTTTTCCCAAAAATGACACACATCACTTCACACATCATTGTACGTTGGTAGAACTAGACATATGGCCTAGTCTTTGGTCCATGGGAAGCTGGGAATAGAACAAATGAAATTTAGGTGAGCATAGTCACATGCCAACTCCAATCAATTTGTAGGAAAATACCTGGATACCTGGTGGAAATGGTACTGAGTCTGATCCAAATTCAGCAAGGAAAAAAAATGCCATGCACAGGCATAGGGCATGGTATGCTGTCTGGAAACACATTTCTCCTTCAGCCAGAATATACTTTTAATCTTTCTGATGTTTCTGAGAAATGAAATTAGTCAAGAAGAGGTTGCGTGATTGGTATTAATTAATGGGAAAGGACATTAGAAAGTCTTCAGGATATTTTAACCTGTCTACGAAAAACTAGTAAACAAGTAACTACTTGAGAGTTAGATGGAGCTCTTAACCTAGAATCCACAGGCACTGAAAACTAATCAATGGGACTTCTGGTGGATCTAACAAGCCATATTGTCTGCAGATCTGTGTATGCTTGTAAAAATGAAGTTTTTGGCTATTGTTGTCACATGGAGCTAGGAGTTCACATAACCCAAAGGAAATAACAGAGATGAGAGCAAACTAGGCATCTTACTCCCTGGAATCAGCATCCTCATCTTGGCTTCCTTCACTAAGGAAGGAAGATTAAACTTCAGCACCCGGATGCTGCCCACTTCCCAATGCTGCCCACCTTCCCCAGCCCTGCCTACCTAACTCCCTGAACTTGATTCATTGCTCATCCAGATCTGTGGCACCAATTACATTCCACATGAACAGCTGGTCTGCCAATCCCAGACCCTCCAAAACAGTCTGTCCTATTGTTGCCTCCATCTGACAATACCCAGGAGAGAAGAGAAGAAACCTTCTAGCTCTGACCTTGACGGTATGTCCAGGGGTGTCAGTTTTCTCCCCTGTAAAATTCACACATTGCACAGTGTGCTTTGTTTCCCAGATTTTTAGGATCCATCCCACTGGTGGTATTTTAATTTAAATAACAGGGCATGCAACCTATGATTTCACAAAAACACAAATAAAACAAAAGACAAAGGAAGAAAATAGATCAGAGGAAAAGTGCCTAAGTAAAGACTAATTTCTACCATTTATGTTTGTTAAAAATATATGCAGATGTCCTGCATTAAGCACTTTACAGATCTGAGTGCACCTTTGCTATGAAGGAGGAACAGTTACAAATGGAGAGATGGAGGAGGCAGAAGTTCAGTCATGAAGCCAGGATTTGAATCCAAATGGGTCTGACATCAGATTCCATACTGCCTCCAAACCATGCAGCCACACTTTCCTGCAAAGTACTGAGAGAAGAAAACAGAAAAAAATCACAGAGAAGGTGAGTCCACGTTGAAATGGGTGGCGGGGACAGGGGCACAGTGGAGCAAGACAGTGGTGGGGATGGGAACTGGAAAAGAGAAAAAGAAAAACCTTTCTTGTGGTCCCAGTGTGTCGAATAGATTGAAAAAGCCTCTCAGCAAGGAAGTGTTTCAACGACACATTTCTCCAGGATGATGGATTTGTGAGTCTCTGAGAATCTGTACTGTGAGATGGAAAATGATCAGATGAGTTTAGCGCTTTGGAAAACGGAGCAGAAGCCCCTACAGCTGGAGCCAGCAGCACAGGGAGGCCAGGCGGGCACTGCAACCAGTAGTAATAAAAAAAGATTTTGTGGAGAGCAAAACACTGAGGACAGACAAGGGTGGTGAAGGGAAGGCCCTACTGCTAAGCATTCTAGTCTCTTCCCTTGTAATAAATGTCCACAAGTGCATTGTTTACCTAAAAATTTTATTCCCTGTCTTTGCACATTCCCAGTAGGGGTTGAAGACGCAGACTCTGGTGCCCGATGCTCTATCAGAAGAGTGTCCTTCTGACTGCAGAGGTTTCAACCTCCTTTCAGAAGAATTAGCCATGCTTTTAATTGCTTCAGAAAATTTCAGGCAGTGATAGAAAAATATAGGCAGCTTATCAGAATGGAAATCTTGAAATCACAACTTTTTTTTTTTTTTTGTCATGGCAAGTTCCTTATCTCAAGAGAAAAGGAAAAGCTGAATGAAGTGACTTTAAAAGAAAAAGGGCTGGGCATGGTGGCTCATGCCTGTAATCCCAGTACTTTGGGAGGCCAAGGTGGGCAGATCACGAGGTCAAGAGATCGAGACCATCCTGGCCAACATGGTGAAACTTCATCTCTACTAAAATACAAAAATCAGCTGGACGTGGTGGCTCATGTCTTACTCCCACCTACTTAGGAGGCTGAGGCAGGAGAATTGCTTGAACCTGGGAGGCAGAGGTTGCAGTGAGCTGAGATCGTGCCACTACACTCCAGCCTGGTGACAGAGCAGGACTCTGTGAAAGAAAGAAAGAAAGAAAGAAAGAAAGAAAGAAAGAAAGAAAGAAAGAAAGAAAGAAAGAAAGAAAGAAAGAAAGAAAGAAAGAAAGAAAGAAAGAAAGAAAGAAAAGAAAGAAAGAAGGAAAAGCAGTTCTTCTGAAACATAGAGATTGAGACACTTGGGTGTTTCCAGCCAATGAAAAACATGATATACGCCAGGCTCATGCAATGCTAAGTCTAAGTGACTGCAAATTAATTGAAAAATATCCTGGATAACTTGAGTTGCAGTAAGCACATTAGATTGCTTCGAAACAAAGGCAGAGAGAGTGCTTTTGTTTGGTTGCGGGTGCAGGTGACCTTGCAAGAAGCACACTATAAATTGCTGCGATTGTGGGATGATAAGCCAGGTTGATAGATTCCTGTCACTCTCCCTCAGTAAAAAATGGGCTCACCTTCCTGAATTCTACAGAGGCATATACATCAAGAAGCACATCGTTGCTTCTGTTTCTGAGGCAAGACAGATTTCTCTGTCCATTTACAAACAGCCAGAAAGGGTATCCACATTTTGCTCATCCACAGGAATTCGCTTTTATTGCTGCATCATTTTTGTATCTTTTTCTTGAAGTTTTATTCTATTTCTCTTTTCTTTCTAGACGTGTATATGCCTTTGGATAATGACATCCTGGTGTGATTAGGAAACAGGGCAAGTAGGGGAAACCCCCCAACAATGTGCTTATTTCCCCCTCTTTGTTTTTAGACCAAGTAAGCACAACCAAAAGGCACAGAAAAAGAGAAGGAGGGTGCTTATTGATCACTTTGCAGGAGCAAACCAGGAAGACTGAAGGAGTCCTGCTGTTAAGTCTCTGTTGCTGCCACATAAACTAGAGTGTTGTGGCTCAGGCAACCTGAGATTCTGCTGTCAATAGAAAGACCACGTTAGAATTTATAGCACATATTCTGTACTTTCTTTAGGAAACACTTTTGTTCTTTTTTTCTTTTCCATTCAGAAAATAGCTTGCTGCAGCATAGCAACCCTTCTGCTATTTCCTTGAGCTAGTGAGAAAAAAAAATCAACAACATGGAAGCTCTTTTGCCTGAAAATCATGGGTTATGATTTATGGATATACACTGACACAGAATTCTTAGAAAACGAGCACGAGGCATAGTGTAGGAGTTAAGAGGATGGATTTGGAATCAGATAAACCTGGGGGTGAACCCCAGCTTGGCTGTGTAACCTGGGGCTTGTTATATGATTCATCTAAGCCTCCGTATCCCTGGGTGTCAAATGGAAGTACTGTTACCTTGCTGACAGGGTTAAAATGAGGATTAGAGAGGATATAGGAAAAGTGGCACAGTGCCTAGTGCATAGTAGCTCTAAAAAATGGTGGTTTTCACTCTACAAAGGAGCACTTTAGTATATAGATGTGCTTCTAGCAGTGTCTATCATGTCATGTGAGAAAATAGTATAAAAAATTGAGAAAGCACTGACTCAAATAAACATAATATATATAAACTTTGGAGTCAGACATCTCCACAGAGGCTTCACACTAGCTATGTGACCACTGGAAAGTAGCTTAATCTCTTTGGGTCCCCTTTTTCTTATCTATAGGTTAGAGATAGTACCTTTTTCAGAGAGATATTGTGAAAAGCCAATGGTGTCTCTAAAAATAAACAAACAAGTAAGTAAATAAGCATAATGTCTGGCACATAGTAAGTACTGACTATGCATTTGCTCTTATCCTCCTTTCCCACTGAATTCTAATAACAAGAGGAAGACTATGAAGAGTGTACTATTCCTGCCTTCCAACATTAACACTATACATTACATCCACAATTTTTACAGTTTTAAACAACAATTTACTTTGCACATGGTATTAGGGTTCCCCAGAGAAACAGAACCAATAAACTGTGTGTGTCTAGAGAGAGATGTTTATTTTAGGGAATTGGCTCATGGGATTATAGAGACTGGCAAGTCCAAAATCTGCAGTGGTCTGGCAGATTGGAGTTCCAGGGAGAGCCAATGCTGCAGTTCAAGTTCACACACTGTCATGTGGGAGACCCAGGGGAGAGCTGATGTTGCAGTTGGAGTCTAAAGGCAGTCTGCCACAGAATTCACTCTTGCTCAGGGAGGTCAGTCTTTTGTTCTATTCGGCCCTTCAACTGATTGGATGAGGTCCATCCACACTGAGGGTAATCTACTTCATTCAGAATTTACCAGTTTAAAGATAAACCTCATCCAAAAGAGAAACAGACAAAAACAAAACAAAGAAAAACCTCAGAGAAGCATCTAAAATAATGTTTAACCAAATATCTGGGGACTAAAACCCAGCCAAGTGGACACATAAAATTAACCATCTTTAATTATGAAATGATCTTTAATCATTTTGAAGAGACTCCCCTTTGAAAACAAAAAGGGGCAACTGGCTGATTAAACTGGATTTGAGAAATTAGAAATGGAATTGTTAGTGGAGAAATTACTTTCTCCTATTAGCCTTGGATCCTTGGGGTTAGGGAGGGGACACAGGATGCATGATAGTGATGGGGTATCCTGATTTTTGTAATGCAAGATTTCAGCATTTTGTTCCACCCCATGAAAGTTTCTATCCTCTTTAGACTAAAGGATGAATGTCTCTATCACTAAAGCAGAGTGACCATCATTGACTTTGCTAACATAGTTCATGTTTTTTACTGCCTTTCCAACATGATTTCTATAACAAATAGTAAGAGAGAACTAATGTTATCCGATTCTAGCTTAAAGATAAAAGGGAAGTCTAATTTTCATGTGACATGGCATATTCTTCTAAATATGGGAAGCAGTATGCATGACATTTTCTGGTGTATTTTCTGTAACTGTATACTGCATTTCACATGCACCAATTGCTTTGGGACTGGCTATAAAATAGCTATGTAAGTTGTTTCTAAAGGCTGTATTCTGAAACACCTTTCTAAATGCTCCGCTTAATTTTTTCCCACACTGTAATTCATTGGTGGCCTTTTCTACAATGAATTGTTGGAATTAACCAATAAATCAGCAGGAAAAGACATGCCAATTTCCTTCCCAGTTGATAAATTACAGTGTGGGCTTGGCACAGTATGTTTTATTTTGTGAGTGAGTGTTTTTTTTTTTGTGTGTGTGTATATGTATCCTCCCCTTCCCCCAATTTTCTTTTTAAGAAATTCTGAAATCTTGGAGCTTCTATTTTGCTTTCCAATTTTAGTAGACAAGATACATTTATATCACATACTATAAAAATCTGTTAATCAATAGGTGGCGGTTATTGACAATTGGAAAATAATATTATTCCAGGTTTGCTCATATGCATTCACTTTAAAAATGGTTTGCTTTTCATTCTTATACCCAATTTGTTGGGTATAAGAATGAAATTCATCAGAATTTCTCTACCCCTCAGGCCTCAGTTTTCTTAGTAACTAACATTGTTACTGTATTTAAAGGGCAGTGTTTTCTATTAATCCAAAGATCAGTAACTGTAAATAAAACTGTAATCCTCTTTCTTTAACAAAATATTAGTGTAGTAAAGATAATAACATTTTCCTTAGATGGGAATGTTTAGTCATCTATTCTCACAAAACATAGGAAATCAACCCTGTGCCCAAATTTCTTACCATTAAGGCCCTCTGACAAATCTACTTATAAAATGACAGTGCTGGTCAGTAATAGTGATAAAGGTAGCTTAGTGTCCCTCTTGGGAAGCCACTATGCCATCCACATGTACAACATGTTTCCTTCAGATTCATCTCTTATTACTGTGTGATGGTATAAACAGAAAGGTCGTTACAGATCATCCAGGCCACCTGTCCTGAAAGCCCACTGCCTACATGGTCTGGCTCACCTCTATGAGGTAACCTCTCTCTTCTTAGACTCTTTAGTGCATAAGGTCAAGTTCTTCATTGATCAAGTAAGAACACAACTATTTTAGATGGTTTTTGGGAGGATTGATCGGAAAGTGACTTACCTAGTGGAGTGCAAAGTAGCCCTTTGGTAGGTGTGCATTCTTGGTTCTGCAAAGAAGTGATAAAAGTCTTAGACAGAATGTTTGGAAATATTTAAACTAAAGAAGGAGAAAAAGGAAAAGTAGTTAACAAAACCCAAGACAATCAAGAAAATACAGGACCCAGGACAGACAAGGCCATGGAAGTCAAAGGAAGTTAATGTTCATGAAAATTTTATGACACAGTCTCTGAGAACAAACAGAGTCTAGGACAAGAGACTAAAATGTTCTTTTCTAACAGTGTTTTTAAAACAGTGTGCCCTTGTGCTCTGTCACCATTCAGGACCAGCATGTTAATACCAGGGCCAGCCCTTTTAAATAATTCAGTCTCCTGACAAGGAGTAAAATATAGATGAGAGAGACCTGGCTTAATAGAAAAATCACATTAAAAAAAAAAAGATCTAGGAGTTGAATTGAATGTAAGCTCCAGGTGAGGCACCAGTGTAAGATAGCTGAGAAAATAAAAAAAGAAAAAAATATAAATAAAAATACAGCATGAATTAATAGAGAAAGGACATTATTAGCAGGGGAGATTAAAGTGATATACTAATAGATTAAATCTGAATTGCTCTGGCCCACACGACAGGTGAAACTCTTTAGGAAGGACTTGAACAACTAGACTGTGACCAAATGGAAGCAACCAAAATAATGAGAATGTCTGAAAAGCATATTAACTGAGGAGAAGTTCCAGAAACAGAAGGGTTCTTTAACTTGTGTATCAACTAAAGTCTTAGCAGGAAACGGAATCCAGCTTAGATGGTTCAAGGGACTTTAATGTAGTGGCTGTTTACAAAGGTGTAGACAAGGTTAAGGGATTCGTGGAGGAAGGACTATTGGACAGGAACCATAGTCACAAAAGGCCATAAACACAACCAGAAATGTAGATACCAGGAAAGAGCAAGAAGGAAATTCCCTACCTTTTTTTCCTTTTGATCTCCAAGTTCCTCTTGGTCTTTCCCCTCGACCAAACTCAAATGGGAATCAGGTGGCAAGATA